TTTCCAAAGTTATACCTTCATTGAGTTTCTTTCCATAACCCCTTGGGTATAGTTGTTCCTTTCTTCAGTTCTTTGTATTGTTTCAAGAACTCTCTCAAGGGCTGGCTTTGTGGACATAGATTTTTTCAGCTTACTTATATCATGGAAGACTTTTCCTTCCCCTTTAACTATAATAGATATTTTGGCTGGGTACAGTAATCTCCGTTGGCATCTGTGGTCATTTAGAACTGGGAATACTTTGGTCCAGGCTCTTCTGGCTTTCATAGTTTGTACTGAAAAGTCAGCTGTAGTCCTGATGGTTTCTCCTTTATATGTGACTTGTTTTTCTTTTGCAGCTTTCAGTATTCTCTCTTTGTTCTGTACATTTAGTGTTTTTAATATAATGTGCCATGGAGAGTTTCTTTTCTGGTCCTGTATATTTGGTGTTCTATGTGCTTCTTGTATTTTTATGGGCATGTCTTTCTTTAAGTTTGGGAAATTTTCTTCCACAATTCTGCTGAAGATCTGGTCCATGCCATTGTCTTGGGATTCTTCTCCTTCTTGTATGCCTATGATTCGCAAGTTTGGTCTTTTTATGGTATCACTCAATTCCTGCATATTCCATTCTTGTGATTTCTTAAATTTTTCTAGTCTTGATACTCTGTTTTCCATTTCATTCATCCCATTGGTGAGGCTTTCTCCTGTTGTTTCTAATCGGCTTACTGTTTCACTTCCTTCTTCATTTCAGCCTGAGTAGTCGTCAATATTTCTAAGTCTTTTCTGAATTCATTCAGAAGTTTATCCCTATCTTCTTTCAGTCCTTTGATTTCTTTTTTGTGTGTGTTCTTTAAATTCATTGAATTCATTTATTATGTTTATATTTGTTTTTTTGAATTACATGTCCTGTGTTATCTCTAGGGTGTTCTCTTTGTACTCCTCTACGGGACTGTTGGTACTTGTTGGGGATATATTATTTTGGTTTTTCATGTTATTATTTTTTCACTGTGACTTTGACATGTGGCTTTCTTTTGTAGTTTCTGATTCTTGTGTGAGACTCAAGCCTTCCTTTGTTGAGTTTAAGTCTGCTTCTTTTTGTAAACTTTATGTGCCTTTTTTGTTTACTTGTTAAGCATCAAATGCTGGTTCATCTAGGCTTCAAGTTCTCTTTTGATTTTATATTGGAATGGCCAAATTGCTTTCGTCTTGCTGCTCAAGAGTTCCCACAGAGGTCCAAATTGGATGAGGATCAGATGCTCTCAGGCTTTCTCCTAAGGTCTGGATCCCTCCAGGAAAGATACTGGACTTAGGAATTTGGGGGCTGGTCTGGCCTGGGTCCAGGGCCCAGGAAAGATGCTGGCCCAAGGAAGCTAGGGGGCTGGGCCAACCAGGGATGTAAAGGGAGGTGGGGATGGAAAGAGGCCCTGAGGGCTCCTAGGGACTACAGGGAGGAATTGGGTTGGTCTGGATGCAAAGGATAATGAAGCAGTGGGGAGTCTGGGCCAAGAGGTCAGTCCAGAGATCTTGGTGCCAAAAAAGAAATGGGCCAGTGTCCAGGCTAGGAGTAGAGATGGGGTTGGGGAGCTGGGAGGGTGAATGAGGCTGGGGGAGTCAAAGTACAGTGGGCACCACCAAACTTATCCAGCAAAGATGCTGGCCCCAGGAAGATCTCATGTTATCTTAAATTTAATTCTGACTCTTTCTAAACAGAGACACTTGAGGACTTTGTTTTAGCCTGTCATTAAATTCAGTGTCATGTTCTTTACATTTTCAGTGCTTAACTGTTCATATAGTCTGATTCCTTACCTCTGGTTTTCTTTCTTCTGACTGGACTCCAGCAGGCTTAAGTAAAAGTAATACACTTAGCAAATTTGTCAGAAATGATCTTCACTCTTGAATTTTTATTTAGTGGAATATGACAAACATATGAAACATATGAAAACATTACATCCCTCACAGCATCTTGCTTATTAATCTACTGTTGGTCACGCATTACTTCTCTGTGACTAATTCAGTGTTTTCCCTTTACTTTATAGAACTGCCATTTTACTATAATGTAAGTGTGGATTTATTTTATTTATCCTGCTCAGCATGTGGTGTGTTTTTTCAGTGTGAGTCTTTGTTCTGTTTCCTTCTGAGAGGTTTCCAGCCAACTCCCCTTAAAATATCACTTCCCTGACAATCAGTTACTTCTCTCCTAGTGAGAAAAAAATACTACTGGATACATGCTAGATTCTTTCAGTGTCTCTGCTCTACTAATTTCACTTTTCTTGTGCCTTGTCTTGTTCTGGTCTGTGTTTCATTCTGTGTAAATGCCTTGGAACTATTACTTTTCCTTTGGAGGGTTATTAAAAGAAGAAATTATTTCATCTGAACCTTTTTTTTTCATCTGAATCTTTTAATGGTTATGCACTCCAGGTTTTCCATTTTCAATACGAATTGTATCTGTTCTTATTTCTTACTTTTGCTTTTGTAATTTATTTTCCTACAGGGATGATTTTCTTTCCTGTCACACTATTTAACTTAGTTAAGCTAATGTAGGTACTCCACTATCTGAATGTGATGAAGACTATATTCAGCTCCCAATTATTGAGTTTTCTGGTGTTATTTGGATTTTCCTAATGCAGCATTCTTCAGTTGTTGCCACTAGGCCCTCTTGAGATCCCTGGTTCTTAAGCTGCTCCTTCATTGGTTTCTCAAGACTCCTTCCATCCATCAATGGTTTGAGACATTAATGGCTCAGTCACTCAACCAGAGAGGTGCTTGGCATAGGTTCCAACTGGACAGCCTTCTTTCTGTCCTGCACCTCCTGCAAATAGTTACCATTTAATAGTTGGAAATTTACTTAAACATTTCTTCCTTCCTTCCCTTCCCTCCTTTCTTCAGTCCGTGTGTGTGTGTGTGTGTGTGTGTTTGTGTGTGTGTGGTATATGTGTGTACAGTAACTCACAATGAATGTGTAGAGGTCAGAAGACATCTTTCAGGAGTCATTTCTTCCCTTCCACCTTGCTGAGAAAGGGTCTTTTTGTTTCTCCCATCTCTCTGTAGAAGTGATGAGATTGCAGAGGCTTGGTATCACGTGTGGCTTTTTTATTTTAATGTGGGTTCCAGGGATGGAAGTAGGGTTGTCAGGCTTGTACAGCTAGTGCTTTTTTTTTTTACCTGCTGTGCCATCTCCCCATCCCTAGAGGTGATTTTTTTCCAGCACTTTCACACGGGCAGCAGGAACACAGCTTCTGATCTCATGCTGGTAGCCTGGAATCTGGTCTCCTACTACTCAAGGATACATTCACAACTCTCTGTAGTGAGACTTTTACCCCTTTCTATTTCCCTGTGTGAATTACAAAAGTGACTAGCTTTGGCCCCACTTATCTACCTCTGTCTAGTTTCTATACTAAAGAGATATCTAACTCATTTTTAGGTATATAGAGTTTTAGAGCGGTCCCATCATTACTTTCAGAACTGAAAATCTTATTTAAGAATTAGTTTACAAGCTAGGTGTGGTGTGATGGCATAGGTCTGTAATCCCTTCATTTAGAAGGTAGAGGCAGGAGGATCAGGAGTATAAGACCAGCCTCAGGCTATATAGTAGGTTCAAGGCCAGCCTGGACTATATGAGACCCTGTCTCCACAAACCCAAACCAACAAAATTAGCTCATAATGCCAAAATGACCTGAAATACATTATCTTATTTGTGTCTATGAGCAGTAGATATAAAAACTATAATGTGTTTCAGGTCATTCTGGCAATGTGAGCTAATTTTTTTGGTTTGGTTTTCAGAAGCTGCATACTTCTGAAAAGCATCATTCAATAGCATTCATTCTTTCCTATTCATGCTAAATTTGGTATTATTCTCTTAAAGTAAATAAAACATGCTTTTACATCCATAACACAGTCCTAGATCAGAATTGAGTCAATGAACAGAGGTGATTCATTCGGACAGATTTTTCAAGGTCACAAGTAGAGCATTCTGTGTTCAAGCAGTTCTGTCTGCCACAGTATATAAATTCCACCAAAGTAATCGCCAAAAATGTGATTACTATTTACCTTCTCCCCAGTTCTTTGCCAAATGAAAATATTCTTTGGAAGATGAGGTTCAGTTCCCTGCACTGATACTTAAGCAAATGTGAGGCCCTCTAGCTATGCTTTGAAGTTTAGGACCCCAGAGAATGAGTCAAATGTGCCAACGAGGATATTGAGTGTTACAAAAGGAGGCAAGAGGTCCCCAAAGAAGTGCTTGACCTTCCTCCTGGTATTAATGTACTAAGAAATTTTGCAACAATGATCCAGAAAGCTCAGTCCTCTTTCCTGTAAACATTGGTGGAGAAACCATTTAAAGGTATTCACAGAACCAGATTTCATCATTCTTGAGCAAAGACCTTATCATGTTTATTTTACCAGTGATTCTTATTATGTAGTAATTCATTTGCCATGACTTTTTGCTTATTTCCATTTTCATGCATGTGCATGGTGTATGTGTGTGTGCGTGTGCAGGTACAGAGGCATATGCAGATGCATGTTCACATGTTTACACATGCATGGGAGGCCTGAGTTTGATGTGGGGAGTCTCTTTGATCAATCCTTCATATTGTGGAGACACAGTCTCTCAATCAAACCCCAATCTCCCAGATATGGCTGGTCTGACTAGCTAGTGAGCTTGTTGTGGGGATCCCCTACCTCCACCTTCAGAGGCTTCAATTACAGTCAGGACACCAGGCCCACCTGGCATTTACATGGGTTCTGGGGAATCCATACTCTGGTCCTTGCTCTGGCTCAGCAAGTGCTTTAAACACTGAGCCATGTCCCCAGTCCTGGTTTCCATAATTTTATGTAGCAGACAACAGTAGAATTTCATCTCCAAAGTGTTTAGGACACTCTTCTCAAAACCTTTTCTATGAATTTATGGCTTGACTACTAAAGATTATGTTTTCTTTAATCTTTTCTTAAATTATCTCCCTTTTCCCTTAAAATCCTCATCTTTCAGCACTGGTAACCTGCCCCTTGTACTTTGCGTCTTCTTTCAGGCAGCTGAGTTCTGAAGCAGCTGAAATGAGAAAAAGGCAGCAATCACAAAATGAAGGGACCCCCGCTGTGCCTCAAGCACCCGGAAACCAGAGGCCCAACAACACGTGCTGTTTCTGCTGGTGTTGCTGCTGCAGCTGCTCCTGGTAGGTGGAAGACACGCCCCACCCCGCGTGAGCATGTGTGCAAACCTTCAACCCCCAGAAACCTCTCAACATGTCTTATTTCCCCACTGTGCAATGCAAACTGTTGAAGACCATCCCTGATACAACACAGACATTCCATAAGCAAAACTGTCTCAGAGCCTCCATGCTAATTAGTAGTAAGGAAAAGAATGGGAAATTGCTTATGTCATGTTTCACTTCATGCATTTTCTTACAGACGTGGGTAAAAATAAGATTATAGTTCTACAATGGGCTATCTATGAACACTATTCTCCAGTGTCATGATGGTTCAAGAACCAAGAATATTAGGACAGCATCTGGGGTTACTGCACATAGTTTGAACATAGTATTTTCATTGCGTGCTTTCTCATATGGGGTTGATCATTCAGCTACATAGCCAGGAATTTGTGAGTCAGGATGACACCCTCAGCCACAGAATTCCTGCCAACAAGGACACTGAGAGAAGAAGCAGAGATTTATGACCTCCAGTTTGACATGTCAGACACTGTGCTTGGAAGGGAGACCAAGTCAATTAACTGAACTCTCTAAGTCAGACTCTGATTTTTGTCATAACTTTATCACTGACAGGCCCCCAGCATATCTGTCTGTATTTGTTTTCCTCAAATGATGATGAGAAAGACAGACTGACTTCCAAGGCCTATATTGTGCTAAATATTCATTATTTGAGTCACTGGTAGAACTTTTCCAGGTTCAGATTCCTTAAGTGCACTTAAGGAAATCAGTCAATCCAAAATCTGTGAAGTCTACACAAATGACCTCTTTCAGAGTGAGACTAGACTTACTAGAACTTTCCTTTGAAACCTGTTTTGTGGTCCTTTAAGATCTAATTTTAGGAGTAGAACTTCTGGAGTAGCAATAGCTACTGGATCTCCTTGGCCTATTTCAAAATCTGACTGAAAGGCCCAAGTGATTGATTCATCTTGTTGACATCCACTGTTTTCCAGCATCCACCTTTTGATATGGTCCAGTTTCACTGTGGCCAGAGTAGAGGATGGAGAGTGCTGTGCTGTGTCAATGGGCACCCCTTGATGACAGAAAAGCTGCCTTGATGAAGAAAACTGGAGGCCCAGAAAACCTTCAGATATTGTAGTCATCGGGAAGGTTCAGAGTGATTTTTATAAGTACAAAATTTGCCTTCTGGATGATTCTTTGTTAGAGAAAGTCATGCATGATTCATCTGCATTCGGTCTAAAGCCTTAATGATTTCAGATGGAGGAAACAGAGTTCAAGATGAGGCTGCTGTCTCAGTCATAGCTGTGTAATTCTTTTTCTTATCACTCCTACAGCGACTGTCCAGCTCAGGTCTTAATCCATGAAATACTTTGTGGAGACAATATAAGGATTCTTAAGCCAGGCTGCCAGAGCTCAAATCATGTCCTTATCTGTCACCAACTGTGTGACCAATTGCAAAGTAGTTCATCTCTCTGGTCCTCAGACTCCTCATCTATCAAGTAACTAACATGATTCCATACCTCATAAAACTAAAAATTAAATGAGATGCTGTATGTGATGAGCTACAAAGGGCACCTGAGATGGAATGAACATTTAATGAGACTTAACTCCCTGGGCTGTGGGAAATTTCATACTGGAATAATAAAAACTCTCCAAAGAGTGTAGATAAAAATTTAAAAATCAGTCTATAGGGACAGTGAGACATCTCAAGAGGAGAACACATTTGTCACACAAGCCTGGCAATCTGAGATCTATGCCTGGAACTCACATAGTGGAGGGAGAGATCCAGCTGTGCAAAGTTGTCCTATGATGTCTACACCCATGTGGTAGTATGCTCATACCTGTACACACACACACACACACACACACACACACACACACACACACCATATATACACAGGCACTAATAAATAAAAATTTAGGGCCTGGAGAGGTGGCTCAGCACTTAAGAGCACTGGTTGCTCTTGCAGAGGACCCAGGTTTAGTTTCCAGCACCCACATGGGAGTCTACAACCAACCATCTATAACTCCAGTTCCAGGGGATCCAACACCCCCTTCTGGCCTCCATGGGCATGACATACATGTGATGCACTTATATACATGCAAGCAATACATTCATAATAATAAATAAAATATTAAAAATAACAAATAAAAACATCATGTAGATATAATGCAGAATTTTTCCTAGAACAAAATCTATTTTATTTAACATTCTATATAAAACATTATAAATACGCCATTACACAGTGTTACAGATTATAGTTCTATTTCTCATTCACACTCTGCCACATTCCCATGATCAAATATCATTTTATTTATCTGCAAAAATTGAGTTCTTTTTTTTCAGAATTAAAACACTGGAAAAATCATCCTGAAGTTGGGTTGTACTGTGTTAGATGCTTAATAAATACAGTTACGCATTAGTTTGGTGACAGGGATATATTGGGTAAATGATATAGGTATGGCAATTTCTTCATTGTGATCTTATCTTAGAGTGGACCTAAACAAGCCTACATGGTGCAAGCCAATTAGTCCATGCACTCTCTTCATCAATCAAGAGACTCAGTAAGCAAGAGATGGATGTAGCTGCTGCCAGTGTAGCCCTCAAAATAGTGACATTATTTTTATTAGGAGACACTCTACCAATGAAAAGTACAACCTAGTAAATATATACATTTATAGCATAATCATTCATAGCAGAGTGCACTACACATAGCTGTGTGTGTTGTGCACTCACCAAAGTATAGGACAATAGATTTATTTATACCACAGCTGCACTGTATACTGTGTTATAATGGTTATGCTGTCATTAAGTGATGGGTTTTTTAGCTCTATTATAATCCAGGACTACTATTACTTATGGTTTGTCACTGACTGGAACATTTTTATATGGTTTATAACTGTAGTCAGTGAGATTTGTTTTCATTGACATTCAGATATTTAAAGAGCCTTTCTTTAAAAACTTCCTTAAAGCACACACCGAATAATAAAACATTCCAGTTAGCTCATCAGCATCAAATTGTCACAGAACAGATATTACAGATCAAGAATAAAGAAACTTTGGGAAGCTGCATCAGCTTTCCACACCTTTTGAGTAATGATATTTTAAATGTCAAATACATGTTGCATTATCTGGGTACTCTGTTAGCCTGAGACTGGAATATGGCTGTCAGAGACTGCACTTATCAGGAATGGATTAAGGCTGTCTGTGCCTGGTGTTAACAGTTACACAGTTTATACATTTATAAGCCCTTCAACATAACACAAAAGATAAGTGGTCTCTATCTTTGAATATAAAATTCTGTTGTTTATATTCACTGTAATAGTGATAGTTTCATACAGGTGTTGTCATACAACTGTGCCTTGTGTCTAGACTGCATTCACCACTCATTCAGCCCTCACCTTACCCTTGCTCACCTCTCCCTTCTAACTCCCACCCACTGTCCCTGACATAAAAAAATAGGTTTTCCAAAAAGAATGAAAATGAAATTTCCTTGAACTATAGATTTTAATCTTAATTATGTTTGAAAAAATTCAAATGAAAATGTCATTTACACATAAGTTTTTGTTTGTTTGTTTTGAGATAGGGTCTCCCTGTAGCCCCAGCTGACCTGGAACTCACTATGTATACCAGGCTGGCCTCAATCTCGTATAAATACACCTGCCTCTACCTCCCAGGTGCTGGGATTAAAGGTGTGTGCCACCATGCCCGGCCACATACACTTAGAAAAATATCATTTTTATACTTTGAGTTTAGGAAAGAAAATAAGAAAAGAAAGGGTGTTTTTGGAGTGAGAAAAATAAAAAAGAAATAAATGTTCTTTAAAATTTCCAGGCTAGGTCAAAGGGGCATAACAGAAAGAAACGTGAAAAAATGTAATTTCAGGACTAAACAATGTTAGGAATCAAAACATAAAACAGCTGTCACTTACGAATAGGAACAGTTGTCATGTGCTGGTTTTACTTCCTTTTAAGGAATAAAATGCCAGAAAAATAAATTTCTATATCTAGTATTAAATATCAATATCCTGCTGTAGCATTACATGTTATGGAGCTTTTCTAATAATGTGGTATTTCCTTCAAATTTGCATTTCTCATCTGTTCCTCGCTGATAGCCAATTTCTCATTTTTTAATTTATCCCCATCTTTAGAAAAATGTTACCATGTGTGATTTTAGGGAAGGATATAGAACACAGAACTGCTGGGTGTTCCCATAGTTTTCCTCAAAATCTAGTTTTGATAGTCTTCATAGTGACTGTATAACTGTAGCCCTGTCAAAGAGCGACTTCCTTCCCTAAGATAATCTTTTTTGTGTGTCCCCTCATGGCCCTCCATTTCAAGAAGGGACGGCAAGAAAATGAAGTTTAGAGTCCTTAATTGTCTTATACATGAGCCATGGACACCCCAAATTACAGTCATAAAATGAACACTCTATACATGAACAAGGAGGTTTGGGGATTTTATTTTATTTTATTTTGCATATGAAGATTTTGTCTGCATGTATGTAAGGCCCCATGTGTATTTGATGCCCACGGAAGCCAGAAGAGGGCATTAGATCCCCTGGAACTGGAGTCACAGATGGTTGTTAGCCACTGTGTGGGTGCTGGGAATTGAACCTGGGTCCTCTACAAGAGCAGCCAGTGCTCTTAACCACTGAGCCATCTCCAGCCCCAAGAACAGGGAGTTTTAACAAGACCACTTGTCTAAAGATTCAAGGCTGACTCTGGCTGAAAGAATAACTTGCCTCGTCAGCTAAAACCTTTAGCTAGTACTGTCAAGAAAACAGGGACTAGTGAAGCCACTGAAATATGTGTACCTGAGATAGCATGTGTACAAGTGCATTGCAGACTAGAAACTTCTATGTTCACTAACATAAAGGACACAAAAGGAGGTCAAAAGTAGAGCTTTTGAAATTTACTTTGAACTTATAGCTAAGGTCCACATAGTCCAGAAAGCTCTCATGATATCACAAGTTACATGAAAATAATCCAAATTAATTTTTCCAAAGT